CACTGGTAACACCGAGAAGCAGACTTTTCTGTGACTCGCTCGCTAACTTCTGGCTTATCGTCTCTCCAGCTGTAGATGAATGTGCAGCGAGAGCACCGGCAGGTCAGTTAGTGACAAGTACGCCAGCAAATCGTTTCGTGAGGATCAGAAGATTGGTCTCATCTTCTACAGACCTGCAGGGGCCGCAAAATTTGCCCTTTTGTCTTGATTTCCAGAAAACTGACGGCTTTTCGAAGGATGAAGAGGATTTCAACAAATATGTGTTTCGGAAACAAATTCCCAATGCTGCAATAAAGCAAGATCAATATATTCACAAGTGTACACTGGAGGCACATTAATGATGTTTCTGTAGATGCCTTCCTGGACCCTGCTGTTCATGAGCTCATATAGGATTACGCCCACTAAAAGGCCATGTTGTGGGGATTTGGAGAACAGTGGCGTATCTCCGCTGTCAGGCTGCTCAGATCAAAGCTCTATATGTGCGCTGGCATTTCCTTGTTGCACTGGGATTAAAAGAGCTGGCTACTTCTGGAGAGGCCACTGTGTTATGGCAGTCTTACCCTGCTGCAGCTACTTAAACCTGCTGAGTTTTCAACAGACTAACCCTCGCTCCTCAGCCTGTCACAAGTCACTGACCAGAGCTGTGAGTCAGGTGCTGGATCTCCAGCACATGTCAGGGGAAAATAGCTTTCGTGGCAGCAATCATAGCGTCACCTGAGTGAAATGTGGCTGAGGTGGAGACAAAACTGGTTTAGACACTAGAGAACAATCAGACCAGGGGTTTATAGACGTTATCCCACCTGAATAATAAAGTTTGCATTGTGTTCCAATTGAAACATCACCTCCTTGGTGAAGGTAATAAAGCCAAGTGGTCAACAGATGCACAAACACAATGTTCTCACCCATTTCCTGTCATTACAGAACACATTTGCTCCTGATTCTGATTCAACCTGCTCAGCTTCAGCTCCCTCAGCACGTCCCAAGCTGACAGATGCACCGCTACCATCTTTCTGAATTTTTTTTTGTAGAGGTCAGTCTCAATAAAGTGAAGTAAAATATAAAGTGTTCACAACTAGCCACTACAAATGTTTGTGTGTTTAATTCTGAATACACGTCGTGTTTCTCTCACCTGGACTCTTTCCGCAGAGCCATATCAGGAGCTCTGTTTGAAATCCAGCTGGTATTATTGAGCTGTGTTTAAGGTATTAAGTAAAGCCCTGTGGATCCGTTCACTGTGCAACGACTCCTGTTAATTAAAGAGTGCACTGAGCCGACTGGAGGTCTCAGGGGAGAGTCCACTGGTCACACCGCGCTCAAAAAGTCAAACACTGCCAGAAGTCGAAGATCAGCTTTAAAGATCATTAATCTAGCCCAGCCTATTCACTGGCAGCGCCCCAAGGGACCCGCAGGGATTCGGGCTGACCGGTATTCCCTAAAGCAACGCTGAACCTAAATTCTTCAGGGAGAGCTAGTTCCCCCGCCCATATCGACAATTTTTGCTCCATTAAATCACAAGATGTTGACTGCATTTAGCCTTTCAGGGTACACTAGAGTGATGAAGACATACAGTAATAGTGCAGCTTGAGGAATGGCTCGCAGAGATGAAGCTAAAACCATGAAACAACATTTTTTTTTTTTTTTTTTTTTTACTGCATGGTGGGAAAAATAATGATTCTTCCACTGCATCAGAATAATCTGGGACAAACTGGGACCCACGAGAGCTGAATCTAGTTTAATTAGAAGACCACCTCTAATGAGTGATGCCACCTAGTTCAGAGTGAAGCTGGAGCAACTGGATGACAAACATGTTTCTAAAATACACAAAAACATAATATTTACCAAGTTTCTGTCCCTGGACGCAGACGCATTAAAGCATCTCTCATTGAAAACAAGCTGCGAACAGAAAGCTTCCTGACTCATGTATAGCTTCACTGATTCCCTGCACCCGTCTGCGTAACTGTCCGTAGTCTGTTAGTCCACTTGAGTGACTCTCAACCTGGGGGTCCCGACCCCCATGGGGGTTGTTAGATGGTTCTGGAGAAAAATATAATATATATTCTAAATAAAACTGTCTTTGCCTGATTATTCTGTTGGGTCACAACTCATTCTGATTTATGTTATTCCAGTGTAAGAGAGACATGGAGGTGAAGCAGCCATTCACCTGCCTGTCTCTCTCTATCAGCCGTGCTGCCGAAGCGTTCATGGATCGATGCTGATAGAGCACCTGCTGTCCTTGGTGTGAATGTGAGTGGCAACATTTTTTATTTTATTTATTTATTTATTCATTCATTAAGAGCCAATGGAGAGACTTTATGTTCATGTCTCTGCCAAAAATCTATAGAAGACATCAATCACCACAAAAACTGTGGAATTCTTTATTCAAGAACTGCAAATGTTATTTTATTTTCACTCACCCTGATCTTCCAGACGATATAAAATGGTTCCTGTATATTAATTATGGTAGGTGTGTGGCCCAGAGCAGCAGTGTGCAGAGTGGTGCAGTTAAACAACACAACAACTGATATTGGATTTTCAATACACTATTGTTTTAACAGGCTAAAACAGAAAACTTCTGTTCTGTTCTCTTTGTGCTGATGCTACACGTAATTTAAAGAACGCACACACACACACACACACACACTGGCCTCCCACTCACTCAGGCAACAAGGGTGCAGCTCCACAGATGTGGCTACATGTCTTCTTATTATTATATTTACTGTCTCTTCCATATATCTGCTGTATCTGCTCTGTTGTCAGTGCTGATACAAGTCTCCTGCGTCTGAGGTCAGAGGTTAACTCCGCTGCTTTTATGTCATACCAGCAGGTAGGACTACACCAGCCCTGATACGGGAAGCTTTGTTTCGAGTGTCAAACGAAACCCGACCCGGTATAAAACACATCTGACAACTCGGCTGCTCCAGCATTTACACTCCATAAAACACGGAGCGCGGGATGCTGCCGCAGTCAGTCTCGCTAATGCTGCGTTAAACGACCTGAAAGATCAACAGTGAAACAGTGCAGGAGACTTCAGGACAACTAACACCTTGTCAGATTGGAGGAAAGGTGAGTTCCTCTGATAAGTTGCTTTCACAGATGTGTCTTTCGGAAGATCACAGCCCCGTCCGGTCCCACAGAAAAGATGCATACCACTAATACTGCATGTTTTGTGACTAACGTGACCTTTAAAGAACATTTAATCTTGTTCCAGGTGCTCCGAGCACCTGTTTTATTGCAAGTGCGGATATGAAATATGTTGTGAACATTGATACTGAAGGCAATACTGAACTGATAAGTTCAATATCACAATTTTACAACATGTCAGAAAATGTTTCCTGTGTTTTCCTTTATTAGTATATTTCATTCCAGGGGGTAGTTTCTTTGTCGGCTGCGGACGAGGCCCTTATTCGGATTTCTATTTTAAAGTCTGCAGGAATTAATTTGGTATCTGGCTCAGGAGTTTTTACAGACGGGTGAAAAGGTCGATATCTGACGGCGGCCCAGTGTGAGACATCGGAACATTTCTCTCCACTGCTGCTGTCACCACTTGTTGAGTCTGTCAGACAGAACTGGAGGCTGCAGAGAGGGTCGCAAAGCGAAATGAGAGGTTTACTAAGCATACAGCTCGTTAGCCTCGGGGTGATGGATAAACACCAGACATTAGCGTCTCCTTCACCCAACCCAAAGTGTCACTCAGTCAGTCTATGAGGCCTCTGGAGGCTGCAGCCGTGACACTCTCTCTCTCTCTCTCTGGAGGCCAATTGAAATGCTGTGACCTTGGGAGAGAAGACTGAACTAATATGTCAGCCGAGGGCCAGCAGGGGATTTCACCTTCCTAATGGAAAGCTTTCAGAGAGCCGGCTGAGAGATGGCATGACGTTAGCTGCCTCCCATTTAGATTCATAAAACTCAGAGACAGGAGAAACCAGACACACAGCCTCTCCTCCTGCTTACACCCACAAACTGACAAAATGTCTGCAGCCACACAAAGACACTCACACACACACACGCAGCGCCTGAAAGAACTCCAGACCAGTTTTCAATCGTACGACAATATAGAAAATGTAACGCAAAGCACACCATGAATTCCACACCACCCACCCTCTGAGACTGTGACTGAAAACCACTTGTGTTTAAAATTGGACAACCAGAAGGATGTCTGTCCAAGACGCCGTGGTCCGTCCTTTGGGCCCACGCTGGCTTCCACCAAAATCTTCTATGAAGAAAGACTATTTTTTTGAGTATTATCTCCACTGTTACATAATTCCGAATGGATTTTCAGGACGTCTATGATGGACATCGGAGACACCGGTGCAAAGAGATGATTCAGCTGATTGAGACGATGTGTGTGTGTGTGTGTGTGTGTGACGTCAGTGTGTTTCTATCTGAGAAGAAGCAGCATTTGCTGGTAAATCGCGTCACAGTCTATTTTGTGTCGAGCACACAATCTGTGCATTGTCAAAACAATTCATTTGTATTAATTTACACCTGTTTACAAGGTGACATCCTCCTCGTAAATACGATTAGCTCTGCTTCACTGGCGTACAAATCCATTGCCCTAATTTGAATTGTCAGACAAACCTAATAAATAAAAGGCGCGGTGATACAACACAATAGAAACCAAGCAACACCTTTTGCGAGTCGTGTGACAGGCTCACAGCAATGTCTCAGTTCAGCGTGTGTGAATACACGCGGACAGGATGCAGTGGAGTTGTGCAGGTGAACAACAATGGTTGTGTGTTTTTTTTAAACATCTGTAGAACTGTATAATACAGACCTGGTAGACCTTACACAAACATTTGCACATTCATTCTCCCGCCCACTCTTTCAATTCCAATAACAGCAGAACAGGAAGCACACTTTCACTAATTGCGTCACATTGTCGAGGCTCTACGTGACGACAGACACACACACACACACACAATCATTCTCAGGCTTCCTGTGTCGGTGCCTCCGTCACTGCATCTAGTCACACACATACACGCGCGCGCATACTGACTTACCAGCCGTGTGGGGACACTGCTCGTTCGTCTTACAGGTGCAGGAAGTTCCAGGGATTAAACAGGTGACGTGACTTCCTGTCCGTTTAAATAGTTTCCTGTTGTGTGTGTGTTGTTTTTTTTTTTTACTTTCTCAATGATAATTAGTTAGAGTTGTACTATTTAAAGTTAGTGCCTCTTTTTAAAGTCATTAGATAAAGAGGAGATATTTTGTGACATTCTCTTATTTTTGTTTCTATGCACAGTTCATTTTTTTGCCCATCATAGTGTTTCAATTGGTAATTAAGCCCAGTGGGAGGGGCTGAATGTATAAACCCCCCCCCCGAGTTAGGGAAGCAGTTTTGTGTACATTCATACAACACTACTATACAGAGCTCTGTCTGCCAAAGACTACCCACATACATCTTAATGTTTTGTTTATCAGATGAAGGATTTCAGTTTCCAGGCGTCTAGATCTTATGTTTTCAGAAAAGCAAGTCCGGCTCTCAGTCCCTCCAAGACATCCCGTGTCCGCCACACAGCGTCAGAGGAGGAAGGCTGAAAGCTGCATCATTCACAGTTTTTTTTCCCAGAAGGCACCATACTAATGAAGTTTTCTTGTGCTAAAAGTTACTCCTGATAATGAAAGTTGAAGTTCAACATGAACTAAGGAAAAAATAAACTGATTTCAGATGTGGAAACAATGAAAAAGGGCAAAAGAGTAAAGTCAACTTCCACATCAACCAGTGCTACTTATTGAGATCCTCATATGGGCCAGCAATCATAAACACTGATGAAGGCCGAGTCATTTTTCCTCCATCGATGTCAAATCCGTCCTCTAAAAACAGTCATCCAGTAAAGACTGTCAGCACGAGAACAAGCTGCTGCATACAAAGTCATTTTGTCGAAATAAAAATTTAACTGCACGTTTTGTTCTGGAACAATAATTTATATCCGCACACATCTCAGCTTGCTTCCTGTCCACGATGCTCTAAAACTCAAATGTCCTTCGAGTCAAGGTTGCTCAGAGTAGAGCGGAGGTGACCCAGCAGCCTCTCTCTCTCTCTCTCTAACTGACACCCAGCTTGTTTCCAGTGACAGGTGGAGCACCGAGACAGCGATCCATCACCGCTAATATGCTCGACTCCAACCAATCAATAGTGCCATACAGTATATGTGAGCTAAGAAAAGAAGCTCTCAAATAAATGTGAGGAGGACAAGAGTATAACTGCCTGGAGCAAAGAGAGGTCCCCCCACTATTAATATGAGCAAAGCAGACATCTCCAGGAAGAGTCTGTTTAATTTATATCGACTGCTTCCAGCCATTATGGACTCCAACTTAAATCTACAGGGAAATAAAAGTCTGGATGGTGCGGACTGTAAAATATATTCAAGGCGGTGATTGAGTAAGTGTTTTTGCAGCTGTGACGCTCTTGACGCAGTTTTGGGCCCTGGTTCAGTACAGCTCATCGTCCATCAGGGCTGATGATGTTTTCCCTCAGCATCCTGCGGTAAAGCCATTTTGAAGCCTCCCAGTAATGAAAAAGCAAATGTCTAATGGTGATTGCTGTGGCAAAACCTGCAGCTCCACCAATCATAATCAAGACGGTGCTGATTAACATCTGTGATCCTGCGTAAACAAACCTCAGTGTTGGCTCAAAACAGAAAGCACTAAAACCAACAACGATTACACTCACTACGAGTGATTTTCAGAATCTTAAATCTGTTTTATTTTTCGAACATCATCCCACGTTGTGTTACAGTTTTACTCTTCTGCCCTTTTTGACTCTTCATACATCTGAGATCAGTTTGTTCTTTCCTCAGTTCATGTTAAAAAGATGAGCGAACCTAAAAAAACTGCAGCTAAATCATAAAATACCATTCAAGAGGTTAACGCAGTAAAAAAAAAAAAAAAAAAAAAAAAAAAAGAGCCTGGCTGAGCTGTTTACCTCTGCTGAGAAACAGAAATGACCTCTGACCTCACCGGGCCCCAGCCTCCTCCAAGTCAGCTGAGCTCAACGTAGATCAGGGAGCGGCTGTTTCCGGTAAAAAGATTTGGAATACATCAGTTTGAAATAGTTTGTTCTCATTCTTAAAGACTTTTGACTTGTAAAGAGGGAAACCTCTGCACTCCCCTCTTTTATACTTCACTCACACTATCACTAAAGCACCGTTAAAACACAGCAGTCACACGCCGTCAACCTTGTATCAGCTCAGCTCATCAGTCTGGGAGATATTTTTCTAACACATTGCTTTTTATAGAGGCTGTTGTTAATACAGTTTGCAAAAATACTTACTATTATTGAAACTTACTACCTATAAAACACATTTCTTACACATATTTAAATGCATAACTCCCACAAAGACAATGCATGGTTAATTAATGCTGTATGTTACATGAATAATCTCGAATGATGAGCTCCCTCCACCAAAAGACTCAAATGTTCAATTTGCAGGGAGCCATTTCAGTTTTTATAAAATCCCCTCGTAGCCTTATTAACTCTTCCTAACTTCTGCGTGTCTGCTGTCCGATGGTAGTGGTAATGGTGCAGTCTAATTGGTTACAGCCAAAACAATTAAAACATATTCTCACCTTTGGTTAAGAAAATCATTTTTCAAATTTGAAGGTCGCTCCACACACAAAAAATAAGTATGTATGTTTTGTGTGTTCAAGGCTCCTTAACAAATTCTCCAAATTAAGTGCTGTTTGAATGTGGTCTTGTTAAAGCAACACAGGATGTAGAATAAATCATCTTTTACTTAACTAACCTACTAGAAATTCTTTATATGCACATTAATGACACTGCTGATGACACATTTCATTGTTTTGTGACTCTTCTGGTTCAAACACAGCTCATGGTTCTTCTGTAGTCTCATGTTATCTGGCGATACATCACTGTGTCGTGAGCACAGCACTGAAGGGAATTCCAGATTCTTTTTTTCAAAACAATAATAAGCGATAGTGACCTGGGTGAGACAGAACAGTGGCTTGATTCTAATGACTTTTTAATGGGGAACTAATGGGGGTTTCTGCAGACAGACCTCAGTGGGTTCAGCGTCAGGTCAATGAGGCATGAGAAACAAGCTAATTGCTGTTTCATAACGGGTGCGTGTAAAAACATTTATTGTTATGCTCCATCCTCGGGGGGCGGGGGGGGGGGGGGGTTTTTTTCCAGGTTAAGGTTTAAAGCTCATTTTGTGTCAGGCTGTGCTCACTGATGCAAAGATTCAACTTTATTACATGTGATACAACTGTGCACAAATATCATTTGACTGCTGAGGGAGACAAGACAATTCTACAACCATTTTCATCTCGGCATGATTTTCATCTGAAAGAGGCCAGATCAAAGGGATTTAATCGTCTATACATTATGCACACACATCAGAAAGGTTCGGAAATACCTTGTTCAAGTTGTTTGATGCATTTACATAAAGTGATTTGATGGAATTTCTTACTGGATCTTTACTTTAATGGTGTAATATGCATTTTTCTCAGCAGATATTAAAGCAGAGGTGTCACTGATAACAGCAGCTCAATATAATCCAGCTCTCACTCATTTTACTATTTACACCTTGTCTTTAGCTTCTGTGCCGAATGTTTTGCTGTAAAAAGGCACTTCAAGAAGATTCTGTATTCGGATTAGCCAAAACATGCATGAGTTTGCATGTTCCCCTTGTGTCTGTGTGGGTTTTTTCTCTGGCATCTTCCTCCCACAGCCCAAAGACATGGATCTCAGGTTGACTGGAGATTGAAATATTTGTTCATAGGTTTAAATGTAAATACACATTATTTTGTGTCAGCCCTGTAATGTGCTGTCGACCTGTCCGGGCTGTGCCCTGACTCTCACTGAATGTCATCTTTGAGTGGCTCTAGCTTCCCCACGACCCTCAAAGGATAAGTGGTCTAGATAATGGATGGATGGACGACCATGATCATCACAGCCTCTCATGTATGAGGTATGATGATGTGCTCTGTTTCATTTCTTTGGCGTGCCCTCACCACACTGCGCCAGGTGCACTTCAATTCACGCTACACTCATTTCAGGAAAATCGAGCCCTGAGGAGGTGTCACAAAGTCGGTATTTGATGACACGGTGAATGGATGATTTTGAAACTGCTGCATGTGAGAGTCCACGGTTTGGCACGGACAGCGATGGCGCTACCTTTTCTGCACGGTTATGTCTTGTGCAGGTGAAGAGTTGAGAGTGGAGGCAAATCCAAGAAAAACCCTTGAGGACTTGATGAGAGGAGAAAACTGAACAAATGCAGATGCTCACAAACTGCTGCGCTGCATGGTACAATTAAGCAATTAACATCCAATCATAATCTGTGGCATGTGTGAAAACACAGAGGAGATCAAGATGGAACCAGGAGACGATCTAAGTAATATTCAGTTATTAACCTGATTAAGACAGCGACGTGTACGCAGCATTTTCTGACGACCTTAACCTGAAGAAAGTCATTATCGGAACGAACACGGTAAAATGACATTAGAGGTAATGACAAAGTGGGCGTATGATATAGTCTTTGCAATGTTTCATGAAAATGGGAATATGAACGGAATATTCTGATGGGAACTCGTGTTGAAATAGTTTCTTATTAATAAGGTTAATAGTCAGGATAATGGTTTCCATTTAAACAGTCGCTGTTGGCAGGAGCTTCAGTTTGTCATTATTTATTTATTTTTATTCTCCATTTAACTCTTTTACAGATGCCTTTTAGATTTTATGTAAAGCACGTCGCCTCGTTGTTGAATTGTTCTGTACAAATAAACGTCCCATGCTTTGTCTTACTATCAGTGACTAACGTGACATTTGCATTTGGATCCATGTATAGGTCGTTTTTTTAAATTAGGTCTGAAATTGGACAACAGCTGCACGTTTGATGATCTTTGTGCGATTTGAAAGAAAAACAGAGAAGCAACTCTTCCTAAGGTGACTGAGAATGTCAGTGCAGCACGGGATCAGACTGTGTCAGCAGGAACAGCCTGTCCACAATTACACAGAGAGGGACATTTTAGTAGAGCTGCAGTGCATAAAGTCCTCATTACAAAGATGAATGCACATTTGAGAGTTCAGTGACACTGGTCTACGGAGATGTGGAAAAATGTGAAATGGTCACGAGTCTCCCTTCACCGTGTTCTCTACAAGTGAGAGCAGCACAGGGGAGAATACTTGACCCTTACAGTGAGAGGATACGGTGGCTCTGCTGGCGTGGTTTGGCTCCACTTGTCCCCTTAGTGGGAAGGGGTCACTGCAAATCAATATTAAGTTGTTCTGAGCGATCTGCTTCATCCTGTGATGAAACATCTCCATGGTGATGGGAGCGGTCTCTTCCAGGATGACATGCGTCCATCCATAAGTCACTAGGGGTCACCGAATGATGAATATTCAAATAATGGTCTTCGCAGTCACCAGATCCATCTGAACGTGTACGAACGATCTTGGTTCCACAGCTCTCATCATCAAAACATCCCTGAAGAGTTCTGTTGACCAGTAAAATCAATCCCACGGAGCGTTGAAGCCGTTCTGATGGCACTCGGCGACCCAACACCTCACTACGACACCTCACGTTGTCTGTTGTCAACCGACCGACCAATGATTTGCTCCTGTGGGTAGCCATCGATAATTTCTTCCGTTTATTCAACTTATTCCACAATGAAATACCAGAGCATTATTCTGACAAAAGAAAACATTAAAATAAAAACCTGAGCCCAAAGCTCCAACTGAATTCATCGCCACAACAGTTATTGGTTATTATCAACGTATTTCAAGCACAATGAAGTTTTGCTGCAAGGTCAACAAAGAATTTCGAGCATTCACAGCACAGCCTGCGATAATCCCCTTTTCAGTAAGAGGTGAGGAGGTGAAGGAGTCCCCGGGGTGCAGTGTGTGTGTGTGTGCATGTGGGTTTGCGGGTGTTTCATCGTGCTTTTCATTACACCAGCTGACCACGTGAATGTGGCCGTTCTGTCAGCAGCTTAAAGCCGTAGTGTGAGGTCAGAGGCCAGGCTGCAGTTAATGCTGTTCTAAATTGCCTTCCCTTGGAGATTTGCCCCCATTGAGACACCTGAGAAAGGTGGGAAGGTCACTCTGTGAGGAATAGGGTGAAGGAAGTGGATGGGAG